AACTAAATGTGAGGATAACGAATGCCAAACTCTCTAAATAACAACCTCATCAACCACCACTAAACCGACGCGATCCAGTTCTCCAGTCTCTATTAAAGAGTTTATGAGACTGTTGGCCTGAAAGGAGAGGTGCAAATCTCGGAGCGATGAGCTCATGAATCAGAAAACAGAATGGAATAACCTTCTCAATGGTTGCTACATATATGGACACCTCCTTCCTCCGCTTTATCGGTGGAATTCTACCTTAAAATCCTCACTAAATTTTGCATGCTCAAAATAGCTAGAGTAGGGCAGAGTTCAGACTTCGCCATAACGCGCGTAGACACGCTGTGACGTGTGTCGACGCGCCACAGCGCTCTAGTCCTAGACGCAAACGCAGCAGCAGACGGGAGCTGATCAGCACCGGCCAACTGTGCTTCGAAGGAGCATGGGAATAGAAGAGTATTCGTTACCTAGTTACGCAGTTTGGTAACGATTGGCACACAGCTAGTGCATAGGAAGTGTGTAGAGGAATAAAAGGGTACCAGACTGCGTGAAGGCAGCGTTTACCCTCCTTTTCTGCTATACTCAAAACACATACGGCCGGAGCGATCAATCCGTTTGGGGCCGCGTTCGAGTCTATATGATTGGAGCGCTGTTGCGACCGCAGCGCGTCAACGCGCGTCATCGCGAGGTCTGAACGCTGCCCAGGAAAAGTAGTACCTTTGTTAGCTGCATATTCTTCTATGCGAATTCCAAACGCTTCCTCAAAAACAGACAGAGAAGTGATCTGAAATGCTTGACAATAGTTGGAAAGCATAAGTCACAGAGGCAGACAGCACCAGGCATAAATCGGTCTTGTCGCACCTTTTCTTGAACAATCGCAACATATGGTAGCACCAGTATTGAGCTCCTTTTGTTCACTATAGCTTCCCGCAACATCAGGACCTAGGCCGTACAACGTCAATTGAGGAATTGGATAATGAATCTAATGAGGATTACTTCTGCGATGAGGGTTTTCCCAGCTCCTGTAGGTAATGACACAATGCAATTGGAACCACGCAGGAGCCGATGGTCCGAGAGGCATTCTTTCTGCCAGTCTAGTTGGAAAATGTTATAGAGAACAGAGAAATAATTAGCGCTAAGGTAGTTGAGGGGGACTACAGAGCGAGAGTAAACCGCACCCTCACTGCTCGCCGCTAGCTAAGGCAGAGCCTGTTGTAGGTCAGCGGTGAACACTCTGTCGGTAGGAGGAAGCAGGCGAGCAGAAAAGGCGTCGCTTTGCGCCCTCCTCAATTACTTCAGTATGAGACTAGTACTAAGCGTGAGAAAGGAAAGCTAACGATAATTAGGCAGTGCGAACTCATCAACTCTAAAAGGCGGTGCGCACGAGGTTGGGGGCGGACGGTTACTGCCAACCTCATTGGTGAAAGGGCTGCGAAAAGGTTTCGGCCACACCTCGTCCAACCTTTCTACCAATGTCGTTGGTAGTAGCCGCCCGCTCCCAGCCATCGTGCCCGCTGCCTTTCAGTAAGCTATTTTGTCAGCAGACTCACCATACAACTGTTTGATGTTCCTCTTCTCGATGAACGTCTCCTTCGCAGACTTGGGCAAGCCACAAAGATCGAAGTCTTGGGAAGGTTCCATATTCAATAAAGGTGGTGCAAGATCACGCAACTGAACCCCTCGAATAAACTTGGCAGTACTGAGAGAGTGGAAGTGTTCATTTTTACCGATAAAGCAGCGGAACGCCGCAGCAACGTTTCATCTGCCTCTTTCCTTAAGGGCGTTATTGCCAAATCCGATCTTCTCTTTTGTGACCGATGCTTTCTAACAGGCGTGGGCCGTGGCAAATTGACAGAATCATGTACAGTAACTGGAAAATACTGACGACAGCTTTGATAAAAGGAAAATCAACATGAGAGACATCAGAAACAAGGAAACTGATTAAAACTTATAAAAATAGAAAAGCATCAGCATGGCAAACACAAACAACTGCAAGTTACCCAGAGAAACCCACCATTTTCGCTTTCGTTTTCATCTACATTCCTCAGAAATTGGACTTCGATACGGTCCAGCTGCCTTGGGAGTGCACCGGAGTAGTCTACCTGAAGCATAGGTAATTGCAAAAAGGGTGGCACGTGATTTGGGGGGGGGGGGGGGTGGTCGCGTTGCGGCACGTCACTGCCCCTTTCCCTAACCAAGTCTCAGGCTTGGTAGAGTGCAAACAACCAGAATCACCATGCCCTAGTCCCGCACAGCGGACACACTACCGCAAGATCTCTCACAGCCCCTACCCAAACCAAGATAGAGCCGCAACAGACTTGCGGCTCTATCACTCTAACTGATGCAGTGGATCTGGTGGGATGCTCGCCCATACTGCCCACTGTGATGGTAAAAAGTTTGCGATCAAAGCCAGTCATAGTCAGCTAGGTGTTCCAGTGGCCGTTAGTCCCAGCCACCTGGAGCGTAGGCTATCACAGTCGTTGAGGGAAGGTCTCACAGAAAAGAAAAAAGAAACAAAAGAAGGAGAGGAAAAAATGAACATAGCTCGGTTTGGAGAAGTACCACAGAAGCACTGCCGAGTGTTTTTTCCCTTCCCTCCTCCAGTGCGAGCGTTACAAGCGGAAAGTAAGCAGCATTCGCAGCAGGATCGGACCTACTCAACGTCGCTGCTGCAGCGTGTCAACTCTCTCTGTCCGTCCCTCTGGTCAACTAGCAACGGAATACCGGCCTCGGATGCCGTCACATTGCATTGGTTGGGCTGACCTTCCCTGATGGGACTTTAAAAGGAGGAAAGAAAAAAGAAGGGAAGAAAAGAACATAAAAAAGGAGAGGAGATAAGACAGATGTCCTGAGGCCGGCTGGATATTCCGGCTTCCGCTCGAGTCACCTAGCAACGAAAAACTGTACTTGAGTACTTGGAGACCTTACCTGACTGCGCTCGCACTGTTTGATTGGGGACAGTAACCGGTGCCATTGGGAATTACACTGACATATACAAAAAATCTTCCAGAGTCTTCTATACCTACTCACGATCTCGCCTGCTACCTGAAATATCGTTTTGAAATAATTATGGCCCTGCAAATACATTCACAGGATAAAACTTTATACGAAAACGCCCAGCAACTCCAACGCATTTTACGAAAGAGTAATTCACTCCGACAGACCTAACAATTAGTGGAAAACATGAATTTAACGAGAACCTCACTCTAGAAGTTCACAGCTGTTCGGTGATAAATTTCAAATCGACCATGGAGTCTGCAAATGCTCGGCGAATAATTACGTACGCTGCTAATAAGTCGACGACTAATTTGTCACCACTTCGCTGTTCGCTATCACTCAGGTGATCATTGTGGCGTGGAGTTGCTCCGTGTTTTCTTTTGTTTTAGTATTCTTCACTGTACGCTTCTAGATATTATGTGTATGAGCTTCTACAACACCTTTGATTCTCCTTTAGCCTTGTGACAAACCGTGGAGCAAGCGACATTCGTCTAGGATTGGTTCGCAATGTTTATTAGAGTACTCAGGAAAAGCGCGTATTGAATGTAGTATATTTGTTAGGAGAAGCAAGAAAAACGCATATGGCATTGTATTATAAAGAAAAATATGCGCTGTTCTTGTAGGTGGAACATTTCTGAACACTATTTCGAAAACGCCCTAGACGAAGCTGTTGATTCACTCACCGAGCTCGACTAGGCAAAAATTCTTATCTCCTGACGCCCAAGTGACGCGGAAAACCTTTGGTGTTCTGCATCAAAATGCAAAACGTTATTCGACAGTGCCGAAAAAGCAGTCCAAGGGATTAAGCTGTGCTTTTTAGCATTTCTTACGAGAAAACTTAAGTATCCTCCATAGAAAGTAGATTTCCAGACAATATTTTAGTGAAAGCGTACAGTCGTGCATGAAAAATTTTCTGTTCGCGCTCTCTATTCCAGATAAGGTGCCGACATTCTGCGTAGTGCGCGTACCATGGCACATTTAAAAAGCCTGATCAACACTTCAGGCTTTTACTACAAACTTCGATTAAAGTAATACTCGGAATGTTTTGAATTACGATATGTGGAACCCCTTTTTGCACAAAGGACCCATCATAAACCCTGAAGCTCCTTACTCTAAGCCTAGACGGATCCATGAATCCTCTGGTTCGCAACGTTCCTCGCCACCTTCAGCCACTAAATATCGCTCACTGAAAGAAATTATGGGAAAAATTTCATTGATTTGTTTGTTTTCTAGTGTTTCTTTTACATTTATAAAACATGCATAATTGGATGTGAAGCTAGAATTTGAAAGTCAAACATGAGCCAACTGGAAACAATGAGAGTGCGTTCATACTTTGCGTCAGCGTTTGAGCGTCTGTCAGCGTTTTCAACCTTTTGAACGACTAACAAATATATGTATCGATTGCTGACGGATGCTAACGCTCGTGGACGCTCTAAACGCTGGCGCAGAGTTGAACGCACTCTAACAACCCAATCCAATGAGTAGAAATATGGAAAATGCCTTAAGAACCAAGCTAGCTACATTTTAGCCACAAAAAGCTCCTCGTGCAATGAATAGCCCTAGTGTCACCAGTTATTTCTTCGGAATGTCCTGCATTACTGGAATAGTGCCAAATTCCACGCATCCCTTTTCCTCAGCATTGTTTCTGCTCAGTTTTGTTGAAAGACCTAATTTTCTTGAACTGACAGCGAAAAAGCGGATCTTATGAAATTCTTCTTTTATGCGGACGACATTTCGTGTAGATTTCGACAACCAAAAAGGTGAAAAGATAAATTATTTGTTTCTCACACCTGCTGCGAAAATGGCTGTTTGTGGGTCGCCATAGTGATCGGTCATGTGGTTGGTTTTGTAGCTCGGAGTGCAAGGAACAGCAGAATTGTATCCCGAAATGTATACAAAAAGCCACAGTCATTGTTTCTGGTTCTACTGTACTTTTTAGATTACCAGTTTATGCTTTAAAGCCCACATTGTTCTCCAGTCTCACTTGAGCCTGCAGCTTGGATGAGAAACTTCTGAATTCATGAAAATAAAAATAATTTTCCAGGTAGGGTTGCTCACAGGAATGGCATCGTCGAGACGACTTCAGAAGGTGGGTGCAGGCTCGTTTTATCCGCTTTTATTTTTTTTCGAAATAATGTCGTTTCATGTCGTTTTAGGAACTATCTGATTTGAAGTCGTGCGGTGTGAAAGCCTACGAGAGCGTGGAATACAACGAGTCCAATCTTCTTCATTGGACCGTGCTTCTTGTACCTGTGAGTTGTTTTTTTTTCGAGTTAGTCTATCAACTCGTCATGCACTCCTCTACACGGGAAGAAGCTCATTAAGATTTTGTATTTATCGTTGTCGAGCTAAAGAATAGGGGCACTGGGAGAATACAAGACAAAAGCAGTGGGTACGAGTTGCTCTCCAGCCTGTCATCCGGGAGACCGTATTGCCGCGCGCTGCGATACGGGCGGCGTTTTCTTAGCTTAACTCGTGTCAGCCTGTCGATTGGAGCACCAGATTTCAGGTGGACTAAGAAGCTGTAGACATTTTTAACTACTTCGGTCTACAATGCTAGTTGTCGATCTATGATCTGGAATCATCGTCGTTTGTGAGCGCGACGCCGCACGCGACGCCCATTAGCACGACGAATAACGGTTCTCTTGTCATATACCCCTATTATCCCCCTGAGCGGGGTTGACGAAATCTAGCATTTTGTGATCCTCATCCTCCATTGAAACCACGAATGGGTCAGGGCTCAAGGAGCTATAGTAATTCCTATACAGTATTTTTCGTCGATATTGCTGGTTCTCCTTATTCTGTAATTCCATTGAATCCTCAAATCGATAGGTATACATTCCAAGTCACCGGTTCCCCATAGTCCTTGTGTTTGAAAGTGGCTCAGCATACTGTGGAGCAGGAATTCTTTGTTTCTGATATACTGTGCACAGGAGAAGAGGGATGAGGGTAAACTTCTACCGTCGATCGATCGCTTTTGAGAGCCGTTTTACTCCCATTCAGAATCGTAGAGGCTGCATGCGATGTGCAGTACCTATGCAAAGATGTGCAGGACCAACCGAGGTACAAGTCATCGTTTTTGTTCCCTGATCTGTCTGGTACTAATTTGCCGGCTCTGGAAGGAGGAAGGTTTAGCTGGAGTTAGTGGGAGTCGATCTGAAGCTCAACCCTTGACTGTATGCCTTATAAGTGGGTGACTTGCCACTACAGCACCCCGCTCCATTTTGAGCACATAATTTCGGAATAAAAAAGCCGAGGTGGTTCAGTGGCAATTCGAAATTGCCCGGAGCGTCTATGTCGCGCACCGTTCGAGGCTAAAATTTCGGATCGGGTCCCGGCCATACCAACCAGGGCCATTACCCTCCTGGAGACGGAAACTGGGTACCAGACTCGTCCCGGAGGACCATAAGTCCACCTTGTACATTGGCTGACCCCTGCAAGTCGTTGTATAGACCAAATCGCACTTAATATGCCACTGCATTTCTGGATGGAGGTGGACTGCCGATTTTCAAAAAGAGTTTAGTTTCGAAATAAGTGAATTGTATTAGATTCAAGTAACCACATCTTGTGGTGAAAAAGCAAACGCTTCCATTTGAGTGCATTCTTTCAAGACCTAAAGTTTTGTTTTGTGTGGAATTCCGTCCATCATCTATTTGTTCGCACATTGGAATGCATCCTGGAGCGGTCTTTATGTCTTTCTGAGTGCCCGTCTCCATTATATATCTTTCAACTAATCCCCGGAGAAGTCATTTTGTTTAACGAGCTTCTTTTTTTTTGCTGCAGCTAATGCCTGTGTAGGCATATTCTCACCCTTCGAAATGATGGGCTTCTATTTTTGGGTGCAAGCCGTCCTTTTCAGTGAGCCCTGTGAGAGTTTCTCGAAACGAAACCAGCGTTATTACTTACTCGCTGACGAACTGCAGCGTTAAATAGAACATGTCATAATTGAACAAAGAACGAATCGGGCACTTGTCCCGGTAAGCGTGAAGTGTCGCTTCGAGTCCTGCCTGTGATCAAGTCTTTTGCCCATAATTCAGCATTCTTGGTATTCTTTCACTTGTTTTTCTCTTTAATTTGTATGCAGCTTTCTCTTCAACTGAATTGTGAGATGGGTGGAAAATTGCACTGTAGTGGTTGTACAAAAAAAATGCAAAATTGATTGCCATTGTGGCCATGCATGAATTTGTGCGCATTGCCATGCGTGCGTTCATGCGTCCATGTGAATGAATGCGGCTTATACCCCAGAAAACAATGTAAATTTGAGCGATAATATGTACTATTCAACTGCTGTATTTGAAAATCACATTTGTAACTCGTACTTTTCAGGATAAGGAACCATACAACAAAGGAGCCTTCAAAGTGAACATCGATTTCCCCGCTGATTACCCTTTCAAGCCTCCGAAGATCACACTTGCTACTAAAATTTATCATCCCAATATCGATGACAAAGGGCAGGTCCGTGACTTTTCTCAATTTTGTTTCTTTTTTCTGTTCTACAACAGCTGCTCCAGTTCAGCAATGTGGGTTTTCTGCTGTTTTTTATAATCTGTACGAAGTATCAAGTTTATTGCATATGTGTGCGGAGTGTCCCCAATTTACGTGTTATCTTTTGCGTGATTTTTGGACTTCCTTTTTGAAGTGGGGAGGCGAAGGAACAAACTAATTAGGTTCCTGATTTCAGGTTTGTCTTCCCATCGTAGACCCCAATAATTGGAAGCCAGCCACACGAACAGAACAAGGTTTGCATTATCTAGTTGTTTTCTTTTTCGACGTGAATTAGTTTGTGCGTGAATCAGGCAGTACGCTCTGTGGCATCGTGAGATACTCAAGTACGTTTTTGAATTTTGGATTCTATTTCCTCCCGCTCCATATTGCTATTATTGAGATGTATCGCGCTAGCTTTTGAGTACTTGTAGCGAGAAGTGCAGGCAAAGCACCCTGAGTAGCTGTATTTTTAAGGAAGTTTTGTTCATCACCAAGAATCACGGGTGATTTCAAACGTGTTCACGGGCACCCTTTTGTGTTGATCATTTTGATTCTGACTCAGTCCGAAAATTCAAGGTTTCATTAGTAATGTTGCTTATAAAAACACTATTCAGTGAACCTTGGAAAGTAGTTGAAAGAAGCACTTGCAGTTTCTGTCTACACTGGCTTTCGACGAGAAAGCGACAGTCGCGATATATCTGCCGAGCTGTGTCTTAAATGTGCAGATAGAGCATTCAATCGCGCGACTGCTACCGCCAGTTATCACTCGGGCTTGTTCCTGACCGTCCTGCGTTGTCAAAAAAAACCGGTGTGTTGGATGCGATGGTTTGCAGTTCGTGGTCCAATGATAAGTGATAGGCGACGGATCGTTGTATCGAGATTACAAACGCGCGATGCATCGATAGGTTGCGAAGTATGGACACGTCGTGGCTGCACGTCATTAGAAGAGCGGGTAGGAGGGGGAGCCAACGAACCTGAAGGTGATAGCTCCATCTATGTCGTTAAATGAATTTGATTACTTACAAATGTAATGGCGGTATGATCGAGTTGGCAGTATCCTTGCGCACCATTCTCGTGATTTATAGTCGACTTTTCAGTGATGATGGCTCTACTAGCTCTAATCCAGGAACCTGAACCTGACCATCCACTTCGGGCCGATCTAGCCGAAGAATTCAGCAAGGATCGTAAGAAGTTCAACAAAACGGCAGAGGAATTCACGAAGAAACATGCAGAGAAACGACCTGAATAGGTCGTTTGGACAACGTCGTCATTCCGGTTGATACCACCTGCCTTGATTTGACCATCATATTTCGAGCTCTTCTCGAGCTCTCTGTCACAAAATTTGGCTTCAATTGTCGTTGTATCCGTTGTTCATTGATTTTATTTAGCTAACCATTAAGCATGTACGAATTGCTTGTATCACTTGAGGTGTTGTGTTATTGGTATTTTCCATCATTTCTGTCTGAAATTTCGTCGTCGATCATCGGTTTACCCAAAAAGAAAGACTGCTGGGCTGTGTTAAGCGTGTGTTCCTAGATCAATTGCAAACAATTTATGGGCAATGTATTTTCGTAATGCACATAGTTCGGGTTTTTTAGCCCAACCAATTTTTCCTTGCTATTCATTTGGCTTGAAAATAAATCTAGACAGCATTGTTTGTTGTGATTGTCGTGCTAGGCGAACACCATGATTTATCGGAGTAGCAGTCGGTCACCGGTTTCTGTCGGAAGCCTGTTTTGGTCGGGTTCGTTCCAATTATGCTTTTTCCCCAGTAGTGGATTTGTTACGTGGATCGATATGCCGGTTTCATTTCACGGCAACGTGGCATTACTCGGCCATTGTTTCGTCAGTTTTTTTCGGGTGTGATTTTGAGCTTATCAGGCTTCCAGAAATTTCTTTTTGATTCTTCTTGAAGTAACTAAATATCTTCGTTTTGTGTGGCCGTCCTATCGTATTATCCTAATATGTAATTGTGAAATTAACATTCATCATCTAGAACATGGCCGCTGGTGATTCGAAGGAAATGGTCGTTCTTGTCACTGGGGGTACGGGATTAGTTGGCAAAGCCATCGAACAGGTTGTTACTCCTTTCTTAGCGATTTATCATTAGTTTTGTTTCAATATTGATATACTGGAACTGGAACAAATTATTGGAAATGCATCTTAGCGATCTACGGTTTCAAAAGACTTGGTTTGAAAACAAACATCGCTTAAAGCCAGAAATTAATGCAAAAGAGGAGCTACGTGACCTCTTGAGGCTCATCGCCTAATCATCAGACCCCACCCATGTGCCTCAATGTTATGTCAGCGCGGGTCATTTTATGTCCCCTGTGTCCCCACTGATAGGTCGTACCCTTTTATCAATGGTATGGTAACGCATCCTCGATGTATTCTCCGTGAGCGGTTATTAGCTTACAGCACTTAGTTTAAGGCCTAGACGAAGGCATATACGGTGCCGAAAGGTCGCCAATAGACGTCGTGAACCAAAGTGAAGAGCCTTCTCAATACAACCTTGCAAATTACCTGGCATTGAAAGCTCGAAGAGATTGCCATCATCCTTACAGTATTGGAAAACCAAGCTGTTCATTCCAGGGCTCATCGTTTTGGGGAAGTTTCCCAAACAGGGGGTGCTATTTGGTCGTTCGGAAAGAGGGGAGAGGATCGTATTTGGGCTGAAAAAAAAATTCATTTGGTGGGTGGTTTTTTCTCGGCTTCATGGATGTGGCCTGTAGTTTGGGAGGTAGTGGGCTGTGCACGTACTTGTTGTTCGAAAGGGGTGGGTGAGTGCGTATTGCTCAGGCCGTCTGGGAGATGTGGTTGACTTTTCGTGATTTTCCTGTTTCATGTGCACTATATCTCCCTTCCCTCCGCCTCGACAGCTTGATGAGAAGTGCAGAGGGCTAGGGGGGAGTCGTACTAGCCCCCCCCCCCCCAAATAAAAAAAGCGGGGTCGTACGGACTCGACCCAAAAATCCCAACCAGCTGATGTGCCGTGTGTTACATTCACCTATTGGTGGATGCGTGAAGGCCTCGCGCTTGTATTTTGTGGGATGAGAGCGGTCGCATCTGCAGTAACGCGCCACAATAATCCCGCCGGTACTGAAGTGCCGGAGGGAAGTTATACACGGGTGCCGTTCTTATGCGCTGCCTCACGGCCTGTCATGCGCGTTATCATAGCCAGACGCGTTGCATTATCTGTACCCTCTCACTTTTGGTTGTTGTTTACCGCTCAGTACATATTTCGCGTACGAGTTGCAACACAACGCAAGCCGTGCCTGCACCTAAGCAATGGTAGGAGGGGGTGGTGCTGGCGACAAATACGATTGTCATATTGGCGATGAGATCTGAGTAATCCTCCTGTTCAAGGTTACGGTCGGTGAAAAAAAAATTCTAATTTCGGTTTTAGTGTAGTTCGCTGCGGACGGTTGGGCGTGTCAGGCGGAATGAGTTTGGCGCGGTGCCAAACCCGTTCTCCTACCAGTTGTTAAAGCGAGCAAGTGATATGACCTGCTATCATACCGTCGCTGCCGACGTTCATTGAAATGCGCCAGCCACGCCTACGCATCTCGGGGCGGATTTCCGAGTGTATTGATCACCGCGTGACCCATATGATCCATTCGCGTCCGCCAATGAGCCCCACCACTAGCTCATTCATGTGTGTCAAGTAGGTTAAGAGCAATTACCACTCTTTCACGCAGTATTCGCGTCGATTTTTCAGGCCTTTAAAGAGCCAATCTAGAAGCGAGGGCGCAACGTTATCTCTGTTACACGAAACTGCTGCTTTCAGGCTTACAAATAATGCCATGGTATACTTTTACAGGTGGTGAACTCTGAGCAACGTCCCAATGAGAAATGGGTGTTTATCGGAAGCAAAGACTGCGATCTTACAAATCTGCAGGCTACAAGGTTTGCACAAATGGTTTGCCCTAAAGAGTTATGACTTCATTCCACCTAATTTTAAGTTTTAAGGGCTATTGTTCGGACAGCGAAGACCCTACCCATGTGATCCATTTGGCTGCCATGGTTGGTGGCCTGTTTCATAATCTCGCCCATAATCTGGAGTTTTTCCGGAGGAATATGGTTAGTTTGGAAAACCTTTGGCTCTAATATCAGTGTTCTTTTATTTCCTCTTCTTCGGCTGGTGACGTGCAACTTGTTTGATCCGCTGCATATGTTCATTACTAAAACAAAGTAACAACCATTTCTGTACGTAAAACCATACACGCCAAACAGAAACCGCGTCCGTTTATATGGTCAAGCAGCAAACAGAATCATTCTTCCTTCTCTTACTCTCTTTTTCTTCAACTGCTGCTGCACAAGTTCAGTTAACTACTGGTTGTATTAATTGCGAATTGTGACAATACGTTTGAATTTTTTTTCCACAAAAGAGCTGATTGCAGGCTATCAATGATAACGTCCTCGCGATGTGTCACGAATTCGATGTGGTCAAGTGTGTTTCATGTTTATCGACGTGCATTTTTCCCGACGCTACGACGTATCCAATTGATGAAACAATGGTCAGTGCTCAGTGGTCGTAAGGGCGGATATGGCCAATTATTATGTTCTTTTAATTAGTGCTCCTTCCCTGAGCCGGAAAATCGGAGTGCGCACTGATAAGAGAGGCCAGGGTTGTGCGTTTTCATCCATGCGATCAGTGTGAATGTGCATATAGACTTTTTTCCCGCTAGTCCATGTTCCTTATAACCGCTGAGCGTGACACAGCTGGGTACGGTCATGTGAGAGCTCGAATTACAGCTGATGCTTCGAGAGTGAGAGAAACGCAGGTATGTCGGGGAGAAGGAGGTAGAGGTGAGCACAGCACTTTTGGGATAACACAAAAGGAACTTCTTGAACTCTGAGGTTTTTCGCTGGAAATCTTTTTGATTAGAAGGGTGAAGCTTTCGGCCTTAACCTATCTCAATTCGAGATGTGGGCACTATTGAACTATTCCTACCCCCAAAAAACTCAAAAAAAATTTACATCCGTTTCGAGCGCTGGCGTCATTTGGCGCCATTATGCGCCAATTTGGCGCCCACCACTTTTTTCACCAAAGTGATGAAAACTTGCATATGGGGGTTAATCGACATCCTGATTACGAATATCACACTGGTTTTGAGCGCTGGCGCCATTTGGCGCCATTATGCGCCAATATGGCGCCAAATTGGCGCGTAATGGCGCCAAATGGCGCCAGCGCCAAAAATAAATGTTGGATTCGTAATCAGGACCTCAATTAACCCCCATATGCAAGTTTTCATCGACTTTGGTGAAAAAAGTGGTGGGCGCCAAATTGGCGCATAATGGCGCCAAATGACGCCAGCGCTCGAAACGGATGTGATATTCGTGATCAGCGCATCGAATTACATCTATAGGCAACGTTTCAGCG